CTTCTCAATAGGGCCGGCGTCGGCAGTGGCACTGAGAAAAAGTGCTGTCAGATGCCAAGGTTTCTTCCTGTGCCTGGTGAGGTCTGGGATTTTACTCCGTGTTTTATGTGGTGTGGGTAAAACAATGCCATAAATCAAAAACTATCCCAAAAGTCACCATAAATGGGTGGTATGTTTACCATTCCCAAATGACATACGCACCATAGTCGATGTTTTAGGATGTATGAAATATGACAATATGGACCATATGGACATCATATGGGCCAATGTATACAATATGATCCAACATGATCCAACATGATCCAACATGTACAGGATATACCATGATATCATCCAACCAAATATGGTATGTATCTGTACTTGGTCGATCATCCCACTTACTAAGTATAGTATAGGTTATATCCCTGGTTATATTCGTGGCATAAGTCGGGTGGATTTCCACTTATAAATAGGGTGAACTAACCTACTTAGTAAGTGGGATGAGCCACCAAGTATGTTCATGTATATGTTCATGTATTTTAGTACGGCTGCAAACTTGATTTGGAAACCCTCTCGGGGTTCACATTGATTTGAAGTTCATTTAGACATCATTCTTTTACTACAATTTAAGCATTGACCATGTACATCCATTTGCTGGTCCATTTACCATTATTGGATCAAATGGTAAAATATGGTCACATTATCCCAAAAGTCAGTATTAAAATGCATAAAATCCCATAAAATGGTGATCATTTTACCAGATGTTACCATAGTTTATCCCTAAATAGTGAGAAAGTTATTCCCAAATAGTGCTAAAGTTCTCCGCATTTTGGTTCCAAAAAATCCCCATTTTGACGTTCCGCATGTCCAAATCCTGCCGCTTCACCCCCAAAAAAAACCGGAGAAAAAATGGGCCGATTTTGTGCAGCAGACCCAGCGGACCCAGCGATTTGCGGTAGCCTCGGGAAGATTTTTACTTGGTAAACTGTCGCACAACGAACTGCATGTAAAATCACCATGTTCCCCTGTCAGGATAATGGATCAAGATGGGGATCACCCGAAGAACGTAATATGATTTTATATGTAAATCAACTATATCTATGGCCATTTGAAACAAAGCAAACTCTTAGTTGACCGGTATAGTTTTTTCCTGACATATGGATTTGGGTAAGTTTCATCACGACCTCGCATCGCGACCAACGCCTGGAATCATGGGAATTGGATTCGGGAAATTCTCCCACAGCCGCAAATTTCAGGTTAGTGAACTAATTCTAATTTACCCAGAGATGGATATGAGGACATGAGTATTCCATAGAGAGAGAGAGGGCTTAATATATGTGTGGAATTATGTTTATAGAATACCATAATGATATACATCAAATCTGGATCAACTATAATTGCCTCACGTCGTGACGTCACTGGAATGATGGTCTATATTTAAGTATGGGGAATCATCCCCAAATGGCCTTATTTGCAGCCATTTTCAGGTGAGTGATGTTTATTCCATTCGGCCAGATGAAGTATGTTTGCCTCTAAGGATCTGTGGAATAGCCTAAAAAAACAACGATTCGAAGAACCCAAAGTCAGCATTGAAGGCTCCATACCATCAGCGGTTCACGTTTGACTTTCTGGGCAAGCCGCAGCCGGGGTGTGTTCCCCGATTCGTCTGTGGACGAAAAGAAACCGTTTCTGAGTGCTCGACTTGCGACACTCTGTGTGCATTGTCGAGGCTACGTGAAAAATGTTCTGGAACTTTTGCTCATCACTGATGGTCTATTATATCTATTATGGTTTATGAATCTTTATGATCATTGTCTCTATTAAATGGCCAAAAAATGGGATAAACACTGCCACGGCCCCTTTCTAAGGCACCAAGCGCAACATTGAAAAACTTCAGCATGGGCTTCGTGACGTGACAGGGAAGCCTCACGGAGTTTTTAGTTCTAGTGCTAAGCTCAAAACGCTAGAGATCGCAGGGAAAAGAACAGGAAGATACCCTCCTGAAATACAAAAAGATATGGAAAACCCCACCATTTGTAAATCATTGTCAAAAGAAACCATTGATTTTTCCACATCTTTTTCTATGTTTGAGGAATCTCCAGTCGTCACCGTAGGTTTCAATAGTATGGTCATCCATGACGACTGGATGATGCAAGGGATAATTAAACCCTGACTTTGGACAGCTCCATATAGTTGGATATAAACCATAGGTATTAACTATTATCTGTTAAATATTACCCTCTGGTAGACCCTGAAAACAATCAAGTTTTAGTGGAAACATTCATCTTCCAACCCCTAGTTAAACCAGGGTCGTCATGTTAATTTACTAGAGGGCAAGTATACAGTACACCTCCATATAGTTGGATATAAACCATAACTATTAACTAATAACTACTGCCAACTATCAAGTATTAACTATGAACTATTAACCATTAAGTATTATCTATGAACTACAAAGTACTACCTGTTAAGTAGTAACTATTCACTCTTGAGTATATCCCATTAAACCAGAGATGGATTAAGCCGTTATCATCATTGATTCTCCCACTTGACCATCACATACGCTGTTGGAACAAGCACTATTCCCGACATTCCAACCCATGTTGATCATGACTTTGGCTACTAAAATGGCCCACTGACATGGGGCTAAATCCCTTCTTTTTTTAGACACAAACAAAATATTCAAAACGTTCTGAAAGATATGAAGTGAGTTATATATATATATTATATCTGAAATATATTATTTATCATATAAGAAATTACATATATCATTATATCATAATTATATCACTAAATCATTTATATCATTATATCATGTATATCATTTATATCATTTGTATCATTTATATCATTTATATCATTTACATACTCTATATCATTTATATCATATATATCATATATATATATATATCACATATATATATATATATATATATCATATATATATATCATATTTATATATATATATATCATCTATATCATATATATCATATATATATATCATATATATCATATATATCATATATGTCATATATATCATATATATCATATATATATCATATGTATCATATATATATCATATATATCATATATATATATCATATATGTATATCATATATATATCATATATATATATCATATATATATCATATATATATCATATATATATATCATATATATATACATCTCATATATATATATATATATATCATATATATCATATATATCATATATATCATATATATCATATATATCATACATATCATATATATCATATATATCATATATATCATATATGTCATATATATCATATATATCATATATATATCATATATATCATATATATCATATGTATCATATATATATATCATATATATATATATATCATATATATATCATATATATATCATATATATATCATATATATATCATATATATATATATATCATATATATATACATCTCATATATATATATATCATATATATCATATATATCATATATATCATATATATCATATATATCATACATATCATATATATCATATATATCATATATATCATATATATCATATATATCATATATATCATATATATCATATATATCATATATATCATATATATATCATATATACTGTATATCATACATATATATATATCATATATATATCTTATATATATATGATATATATATATATGAGATGTGTATATATATATATATATCATATATATATATACATATCTCATATATATATATATATATATCATATATACCATCAAATATTCCAATATATTCCGCTGGTTTTCCCATTAATGCGTGACCATTTTGAGATACACACATCTCTGCAGATGAGCATTAGACCTGGAAATACGTGGAACATCGGCATTGTGCAAGACGCCATTGGACGATACTCGTGGTACAAAGTCTGCCCTCATTTCTGTGTTTGTGTAATATCTACGATTTCTGTGTCTCTTTTTGATATTCTAAGGTATTCTTACTCTATCATTGTTGGTTAAATATGGCCAAAGTATCACACAACTATATTTTGGACCATTTTTGGGGTGGCAAAACACATGGCAAAACACCATACCTTTGGGCTGCCTTTGGCTTACAACTTCGGCAATGAAAAATCACTGCTATTATGAGTTTTTGTTTGATGCATAAAGTTGAGACATGAACCATATTGGGAAATTGAGGATCCAAAAATGGAGGTAGTGTACCATATAAAGCTATATATTTGGGGATCAAATGAGAATAGTTATTCTGGAAGATCACTAGCTGATGGTCTTTTCGGTGAATCAAAGCAAGAATTTTGCGGGTCTTATCTATCTTTTTTACCAAGTTCCCCCCCAAACGTAGCTGGGGTGGCAAGGGAACAATCCTGACATAGGAGCCTCAAATGATTTGGGGTTGCAAATCACGCGCATTCCGTTAAAAACAATGACATCATTTGACATCTTCAGATAGCATAATAAACGAATCCTTAGGACTTTCGCTTAGACAATGACAAGAGTAGAAGATCAGTGATGTCAACATGAGAGGCTTGTGTATTCTTATTCTCTGCGGTTTTGCACAATATGCATCCAGTATATATTGGATTATCTCAGTAATCAATCATACATGTGTATATATATATATATACCCAATAGCTGGATGGTTTATAATGGAAAATCCATCTTAAAATGGATGATTTGGGGGTACCCCTATTTCAGGAAACTTCCATATCAAGTGTTTGTTTCTTTTGATCGCATAGCTATGTTAAATAACCAGAGGGTATATATTCATTAGATGGTGAAGGTTTTTCAGAGAAGGCTAATGACAACAATATTATATCATATCATATATGTATACTATAACAATTGTTCTTAATATATTGCTATACAACGATATATATATATATATACATATATATATATGCATATATATATATATATACATACATATATTTTGTATGAGATGTTATGATGGCCCCCCATTTTAGAGTTGGGGACCCTTCGCCAACCTGGCTCAAACTCTGCAAAAAAGCCCGGCATAATGGGGCTTTGATCCGCTTTAGTGACTCAGCAGGGTTTTTGAATCCAGTGAAGAAATGGGAATCAAAAATTGGGGATTTAACAATCAAAAATTGGTATTTGACCATCAAACATGGTGGTATAATGAGGATATCATGGTTTTTTTGGGGGAGAAATGGGTATCCCAAGGGGGAAATGGTGCTGTGGACAGAAATGGGTGATGGAAATTGGTTGATTTACAACACACAAATGTGGGACTTGAGCAACAGAAAAATCTGGATGTCTCATCAAATTGGAATGCCTCAAAACTACCGACCCACAATGGGTATGTTTGAGCTACAGCAAAGGAGCGAGCCATATCCGAATGGGGTTTCATCAAAACCACCTTGTGTCGAGGTCAGCCGGATAAATGGGATAGCCCGTACAACCCTAGGAAGTGTAGCCGGAAGAGCCCTTGTTGGTGCACTGCCGGTAGTTGCTTCTGAGGTAAACCAGGTGATATTATGCAGCTTCCCTGACACCAAACAAAGGGAGCACTGAGGTGTAAATCCAAAATTGGCATCGAAAAATCATTGTAAATGTGTTATGTGTTTCATTTTATTGCCATGTTTCATCACGTTTTTTTAGGGATAGACGTTTCATGAAAGTTCCATTATCACAGTTTGATGTTTGATGACAACTCCCCCAAGGCGAACCTACGAGACGCGGCCCTTCGTCTCAATGACTGCTCCTTTATTGTGTCTTGGCTGCGCCGTGAAAGTATCGAGTCGTGGGCCATGTGTATCCCATTGATCCAAGCTGCCTTTGGAGTGGGCGTGTCATGGAGGGTAAGTTTAGGATCCCAGTCCTCGCAACGGTTTAGTCCGATAGCAGGTTCTCGCAGAATGAAAGACTCATGTTGTGATTTCCATGCAGTGGATCTATCGCAGTTGAGCTTGTTTCCAGTGAGAAGACGATCCTTAATTTTTCATCCGATATTTAGAATTAGATCCTTCTATCCAAGTTGATAAAACATTAATCTTCCATTTTTCATGTTGATGACATTCATGTTCCGCCGTTGAATGTTCCATTTTGCATATTCCATTCTATCCATACGAAACAATGTTTGGCGAAACAACGGATGTGTTGAATTTTCCCACTTCGTTCATCAGGTCCAACATGGCGAAGCCCTACCTTTTTCTGGGCTACTTCTCGTACGCCGAAGAAAGTTCTCAACGGTGGAAGTTATCATATACTGGTTGGTGGTTTGGAACATTTTTTTCCATATATTGGGGATAATAATCCCAACTGACGAAGCAATATTTTTCAGAGGGGTAGGTTGAAACCACCAACCAGTATATGTGGCCGGCTTGAAAATCCCCGAATTTGAATGGAGATAGAAAGCTGATAAATAGCCATGGAGCTGACACCTTTTAGGGGACCGGAGTTCCGAATCTCCAGTTACTCCGGTGACTGTACTCCAGTTTCAGGCTGTGAGCATGGGAAGTGTTTGATTGAGAAAGCATTGGAACTGCGGTCCATGAAGTTCCAAGTGTCATAGCTGCTGACATGTGCTTATTTGTGCAGGTCACGAATGAGGATTCTCATTTCTAATGAAGGGGCCAACAACACAAAGGCCCACCGCGAAGATTGCGATGTTGGTGCCTAATATGGTGATCTTAAGGATTCTTAAGGCTGTCCCAGTATTGTAGACTATTGTATGTAGTTGCGTTTCCCTGTTGTCCCATGGTTTTCATCTCTTCAAATCTGGGTGATTTCATGAAATTTCATGAAATTTTAGATGTTTCAGTTCTTCACCAAGACTCGAAAACGCCCAACTTCACTGTTTCAGCGGCCAGGTTCGAAACGATCATGCTTGCGGTCTTGGGTATCCATACAGTCTGGCCCAGAGCTCTCAGGGCTTGACAGGCATTTCCATGTGCAGATTTCCCGCATGTCAAGGATCAGTGCGATATGTCCTGACGTGTCTACGTGTACGTGTATATATATATATACATATTTATATCATAGAAATGTATAATTAGAATTAGATTTATATTATATATATATTATATATATTATATATATATCGTATATATCATGTATACATGATATATATATATATATATGATATATATATATGTATGATATATAAATATGATATATATATATATGATATATATATGATATATATATGATATATATATATATGATATATATATGATATATATATGATATATATATGATATATATGATATATATATGATATATACATATATATATATATGATATATATATGATATATACATATATATATATGATATATATATATATGTATATGATATATATATATATATGATAATATATGATATAATATATATATATACATATCAATGTACCCAGATTGTCCTCTGATAGAAATTATTGATTTTGGATCGGTAGATTTCTGGGCCAGGTCATCTGCATTTCTTTGGTCGCCCTGGCATCATCGGTGCGGATCGATGGAAAGGGGGAAGGATTGAGATGGCACGTCGTTGAAGGTCAATCAAAATATACTAAACACATGGGCAAAAAAACACGGAAATCCGTGGAAAATGTCTGGAAAAGCCTTTGAAAATTGATGGACATCCATGGAATTTAAACGAAAAAAACATTGAACTTTATGGACTTTGCAGGTGATGTTTCAGAATGTTTCAGGATTTTGCTACATCAATTTCTTAGCAATTGGACAATCCCCCTTTTGACGAATTGTTTTACCATTAGGCCCTCCAATTTTAGGGGATTTCCCTTTGCCACGTTTAATTACCGGAGGGTACACACGCACACACACACACATATATATATATATGGTGATCGATCTAAAGGTTCTTGTAAAGAGTTTTAATTGCGAAGACCGTTCATGTTATGCTGTTGTTTATTCGCGAAAGATTTGCGAAAGTTGGATATTATGAATATATACACATGCTGCTAGCCCCTCCAAACCCTGTCTCTAGCCCTGAGTTCCAAAGTCTGGTTCTTTGCACTTTTGCAGTTAGTTGCTCAGGCAATGAAATCCTAAAACACCAAAACCCTGAAACCCAAACTGCATAACTATGCGAAAATGCTGTGTGGGTAGCCAGTGTGTTTGCATTTTCTTTCACCTTGGCTAAGAGATTTATTGAACTTGGATATGATGTTGTCGATCAGGAAATAATACCACTTTGCGCTGCAGCCTCTGCGCAAAGCTCAGGGGTTGCGCTTACATCCATCCATCCAACCAACCAACCAACCAACCATCCATCCATCCATCCATCCAACCAACCAACCAACCAACCAACCATACATCATCCATCTATCCATCCATCCATCCAACCAACCAACCAACCATACATCATCCATCTATCCATACATCCAACCAACCAACCAACCAACCATACATCATGCATCTATCCATACATCCAACCAACCAACCAACCAACCATACATCATCCATCTATCCATACATCCAACCAACCAACCAACCAACCATACATCATCCATCTATCCATACATCCAACCAACCAACCAACCAACCAACCATACATCATCCATCTATCCATACATCCAACCAACCAACCAACCAACCAACCAACCAACCATACATCATCCATCTATCCATACATCCAACCAACCAACCAACCAACCAACCAACCATACATCATCCATCTATCCATACATACATGATTGTGTGTATACGTACGTGACATTTTTTGGGAGATATGTCATGCAGGGCTTCACCATACGCTGGGATGGGAGCTGAAAACCAGGTGGTGGATGTCGAAATGTACGGCTTCACGCTCAACACCACTCTTCAACTAGGCGCGGGTGATGCTTGCTGGCTCGACCAGTGGACCAGTGGACTGGATTTTAGACCTTTGGCTTATGGTGATGTCAGTGGCTTCGAAAGATATGTCAGGAGTACGGCCGACTTGGTACTGAAATGACTATGTGACTATGTGTTTGTGGTTCGGCAAGGGGAAGAGGAGGGCCAAACTAAAATGATGCACAGAGATCTAGTTATCTTTGAATGTGTCTGAATCCATGCTACTTCCTCACAAAATTAAAGGCGCCAAGGAACAACTTTGAGCCACAACAGCATGGCCCGAATTGTCCTAATCCATAACCGGGGATCTCAAACATATTAGTTTAGTGCAAGATGCAATTTGTTTCTTATGCAACTTGATTTTTGGTTCAGAGAGAAGGATGCGATATCAGGATATATCAGGATGGATGTTGATCTAGGCAAGAAAAAGTCATCAAAGAATCCCATCCCCAGTTCTTTTTAAAAATACCCCGCCATATGATCGTCCCCAAGAGATTGCAGGAGACCTGCAGGACACCTCCTAATGATCGCCCTGCTAAAAAACCTGAAGACATCCATTTGTATTTATATCGAATGTACAAGATATATAGATTGATAACTGGTTTTCTTGAAAGGTGGATTGATGAATAGGTGGATATGTGGAGAGAGGGAAAATTAGATAAAGATATATTGGATTACTAATGATTACTATATATTGGTATGAATATAGAAACATACGCTTCGACACAGACTTGGACGTGGATTCAGACATAGCCCAAAACGACTTCAGCAGTGCAAGACACCCCGTTGTTTTTTTACTACAGAACTACATAACCACAATATGTTCAGAGTAGTTATGATATTATAATTATAACAACAATTGATGATTGACATCTAATCATTGATGAATAAGTATAGCAGACATATCAATTATCACAGTTATCGTTTATTCACGCTTATAATGCTTATAACTTATAGTTATCAATCTTATAGTTGTTTATGGATTATCACGACATCACATCACAATCAAAGCATTTTCACGAGGATTCGGCATTCTTTAGCCACCACATCGCCCAAAACTCCCTCCGCATCGGCCTGGTGCCAGTTGCTGGAACTTGGGGATTGCTGGGCATCGTGTCCATTGTGAGCGCTTTGGTTGGCTGGTCGCAGCAGCGGGACACCGTTTTCACTGACTGGGAGGATGACATGAAGTGATATGAAGAAACATAGGTAAAAAAAACAAGACAACGGTTAAACCGGTTATCGTCATATTCAACAGTTAAACCAGCTAGGTTGATACAAGTAAATAAGTGAAATGGAATGAACGTCCACTGCAAAGTTGCAGAAAAACCTGCCGGTGTCGTAAGTCTCAATGTTTTCTGAATGGTGATGACTCAGACTCTTTGTGAAAACTTGGGTTGAACAATCTGAAATCACCAAGTTAACCATAATCTGAAATTAACCATTGTTAACGACTGTTTTTTTTTCGATATTTTGCTGCGAAATTAGGAAATCCCTGAAACTGGGTGAGAAAATCAGCTGCCATGTTTGATTGCCGGAGGGTATGTATATATATATATATATGTAATTCAATGTGTATCTAAATATAATTCTATATATATATATATACATGTATTACAGTATTATTTATATACTAGAACATATTATGATATATTGTCTAGAAAGCGTGTATCTATATAAATATAGGAAGATGTGTAATATATATATAATATACATATACATATGAATGTGTACATATAAGTGAAGACATTTACATACCATACAATATATATATATATATATTATAGACATACGTGAGCAGTCCCATAGTTGCCGGTGATATGTGATATCGGCAAGGAGACCCCAATGGCGGTGTACTTCTGGTACCTTCTGGCGCCTGGGAAGCTTCCAGAGATTCCCCGGTAAAGTCCATGGTTATTTGAACTGGTTGCGAGCCGGAAATATATGAAAATAACAATGTTTAGTAAATCATCCTCTGGCAACTAAACATAGCCTATTGGAAATAAGCCTCTTTAAGAGGTGAATTATGGTAAAGAATCAAATCAAATGGTCCCATGGCTGTTTGCAACCCGTTAGTCATTACCAGAGGGTTGTTCGCCAATGGTGAAGTTGATACTTCAAAAAATGCCGATGTAGAAGGTGCTGACCCCAGTGAAATCTTTGGTGTACAACAATGGAAAACAAATCTCAGGGAGACGTCGGACAGACTGCTTCGATATATCTAGCAACCCACGTGAAATTGGAGTTGTGTTCACCAACTTCGCTATGGGGCACCACCAACCGGATGGTATGTCTACAACCATTGAGAGCATCGCATGTCCCATGGGTATCCATGGGTCCAATGGATTCCCGAATTTCTTGTTCGTCCGCTGAGAACACGTTGCGCATGTCATAGGTTCAAAATTGGACTACATTATGACTATCATTTGATATGTCATCTATTGTTAGCTATTGTTAGCCATGGTTTTTTTGTTGAACATCTACAATGGCTACAGCAAAAATCTCAGGAAATCTGCCATGTTCTTATTGGAGAGTGTGGCCTCACCATTCTCAACCATGGATTCCATAGTGCCTAGCTGCTTCAAAAGGTGATGTAAACCTCAAATTGGGAACATTGAAACCGGAAAAACCCACAGCTTTAGGAGTAACCTCTGGAAACCACGGTTTCCGGTGAAGATTTGAAAAAACAATCCATTCTCGAAACTTAGTTTTAACTGTTGTGCCGTGCTGAGATCTCAGCAGTGGTGCTAGCTGTGATCTTCGTATACCTTGCCACGAACAACTCAAAATGCGCCCTGGCCGAAGATTTGTGGCCGGTTGTCTAAAAATCGTGAACAGAAAACATCTAGTTGGTGGTTTGGATCATTTTTTATTTGTCCATATATTGGGAATATGCAGATGTATATCGACATAGTGCACCATTTGTGTATAGCTCAATACGCTTGACTTTTGGCTCAAGTGGAAAAGGCGCTCCGTAGCGCCAAGGTTTGCAGCAAAGTAGTTTTGCATGGTAGCGGCGGAACGTGACAGGGACCGCGTACCTGAGGAGGAGGTTCCGGATTACGAACCGGACGAGCCCGTACCCCCGGGCCCAATAATAGGGGCGGAAGGCGGACCCGAAGAGGCCGCAGCAGGTGGTTCAGAAGGGGCCACTGTAGGCGGACCCGAAGAGGCCGCTGAAAGAAGGGTAGAACGGTTCAGGATTGAACCGGGTCCAGTACGACCCTACCCAGTAGTGACCACCGAAGGAGGTGAGTCGTATACAAGCCAGGTAGTGCGAAAGGTCCTGGTAACGGTGGAAGAGGATAGAGCCAAAAGAGAGGAAATTGAGCGAAAGACCAGAGACAGAGAAAGAGCCATCGAGGCCGCAGAAGGCGGCAAAGGAAAAGTAAAGGGAACAGGTAAAGTCGATACCTGGCTGGCAGAGAACCCAAACCGCCGTTGGCGGTCAGACGCTGCACAGCAGAAGAGACAGGAGAAAAAGAAGAGAAAAGGAAAAGGAGGAGGCCAGAAAGGAGAGCCAGAGAGTCCGTGGGAAAGCGGGCCAGGAGAGCCCGAACCGTACCAAGAACCCAGCGAAGGAATAGTACTTCGCAGTAGAAGCCGCAGCCAACGAGACGGAGAGTGGCCAGTGACTCCTGAGCGAGGACCGGTGATTGAAGGGCACAGCGGCGCAAGACGCCGACGCCGGATCACTGTGGACTCAAGGATCACAAAGCTTGCAGAAGCTCGAGTTCGTAGAGGAGCAGCTCCAGAAACTGCCCTGGGATCCAACTTCCGACAAAGGGTAGCAGCAGCAAAAGAAGCGGTGTATAGAGCTCGCGCACGAGGAAGTGTGGCACAGTCCATTGCGCAGCGAGTATTTAGAGCAGACGGATTGGACGAAGCCTGCAGTTCCTGTGACGAACGAAAGGTCCGACAGAAAACTGGACTACATCGATTCGCTGCATCCTTTGTAGCTCGGTCCAAGCAGAAAAGTAGAGAGACCGCAGTTCAGCTGGTTCCACGGCCCGAGGAGAGGCCGGCAGATCCACCCAGCAGTTCAGCTCGTCAGATCACTTACAACTTCCCGAAACGGACTCTTGTGAATCCGACATCAGCGGAACTTCAAGCAGCTGCGGAAGAGTACGAACGATCGGAGGAACGCAGGAGACTCCGACGAAAGAAGATCGTGCAGAAAGAGAAAGCTGCTGAGGACTTGGAACGGCTGAGGAAGAGAAAGGCCGAGACCCTGAAGAAACCCAAAGAGACAAAAGATCAGAAACCTGGGAAGGCCGCAAAATCGGCCGTGAAGTCAGTCCCCGAAAGCAAGACCCAGGACAACAAGCCCAAGGCCAGCAAAGCGGCTGCCCCAAAGGCCGCCCAGGTGGAAAGCGACAGCGAGTACACTTACGAGAGCTACTACACTTACGAAACCGCAGAGGAGGAGGAGGAGGAGCGCATCGTTGAGGACGTGGCGACCTCCTTCTTCTAAGCGATGGATGCGACTCAGGCAGCCCAAATGCAGGCTGCCCTGGAGGAGATGAGACAACAGGTCGTCCGACTGACCGGTGAAAATGAGTCGCTGCGCGCTGCTCATATGGGAATGAAAGAAATGGCGTCGTCATTGGGGGAGTTGGCAAAGAGTTTAGGTAGAAGAGATAGGGATAAAGATAGGAGGTTGTTGGTTGACACTAAGGGTTTAGGAAAACCAGACACGTTCAACAATGATGAAACAGGTTTCAGAAGGTGGTCAAGAACAATCTGTAATCTCACGGTAGGAGTGTTTGGGAAAGAGTTTCAAGATGTTTTGGATCATTGTTTGGACTTGGAAGATGCAGTTGATTTTGATATCCTAGAACAAAAGTTCGAGTATGACGAACTAACAAACGATCAAGGAATCAGAGACATTGCAGACAAATGTGACCAGCTGTACCGGGTGTTGAGCTCGCTGACCACAGGTGAGTCCGAAGACTTGGTTGTCGGATGCGCGAACCTGAAAGCCTCAGGGTTCGAGGCTTGGAGACGGCTCAATCGTCGATGGGACCCGGTGACAGCAGGTAGGAAACGAAACATCTTACGTGCAATCTTGAACCCCGAAAGAACCAAGACATGGGATGGGGTCAGGCCGGCAATCGAGCAACTGGATGATCTAATCCGGAGATATGAAGCTCGCAAGAATGAAAACGGCCTAAGAGAGACCCTAAGTGATGATATCAAGTGTACAGCCATTGAACTATTGGTACCTCAAGACCTCGAGAAACATCTCATCCTAAACAAGAGCCGACTGACCTCATACGCATTGATCAAGCAGGAAATTGAAGTGCTAATGGAAACCATGATGGGATCAAAGAGCAAAATCCATCGGCCGGGATCGGCCGCAGCATCGTCCAGCCAAGGACCTGCGCCTATGGAAGTGGATTCACTCGCGCAGTGGCTCGGATCGTTAGTGAAGGGCAAAGGAAAAGGGTCAAAAGGGTCTAGTAAAGGCAGCAATAAGGGTGGTAAGACCAGTGACAAAGACATCACATGTTACAATTGCGGTAAAACCGGACACCGTGCTGCAGACTGCTGGAGTAAGAAGAAAGAAGGCTCAAGCAAAGGCTCAAGCAAGGGTTCAAACAAAGGCTCAAGCAAAGGCTCAAGCAAGGGCACAAATAAAGGCAAAGGCTCAAGCAAAGGCTCAAGCAAGGGACCGCAAGGCAAAGGAAAAGGGAAGAAGAGCGCATCGGCGTTTGAGGAAGCCGAAGAGGAGGAATACGCACCGGGTGAAGAGCCCGAGAATGAAGATGTCGGAACGTTCGACATTAACGGTATTAACCTGAATTCGGAACCACAAGAATGTGGTGTATGGACCAAGTTCAACCTGGATACGGGCGCCGCACAAACGGCAATCCCTAGTGACTGGGACTTCATCACAAGGAAGCCCGGGAAACAAATTACATTCAAGACGGCATCAGGTGAATTAGTCCCAAGTGAAGGAGATGGCTCATACATTGGAACTGATGAAAACGGCATGCGATGCCGAATCACCGGACCAGTGGCAAATGTACACAAGCCTCTGGTGTCTGCGCACAAATGCCTGAACAAAGGCCGAATAGCCATCCTGGACGAACATGGAGGCTACGTGTTGCCAGTGCAATCGGCAGTGGGCAGAGACATCCAGCGGACTTTGAGGAAGGCTTCATACAATGAACAGAAGAAATGGCTCAGGTTGTATCAGGAGAAGGGAGTATACAACTTCTACCTGAATGGACCAGATACAAGCCCGAACTCGGGTTTTGGCCGGCAGCCGAAGGACGCGTAAGTCCGACCAAGGAATTGGGAGCGGCCCCCGCGGCCGGAAGAAGTGAGGAAGATCCAAATCCAGCGGGCCGACCCGAGGATGTTGGAGAAGAAATGGAAGTGGAAGAACTGGCAAGGCCGGTACAGATACGGTCGCCAGAGGATCCTACACCAGCAGAGGTGGAGGAGCACGAAAGCACTGGACATGTGCAGTACCGGACATGGTGCAAGCACTGTGGCCGGTAGGGGTGTTGGTCAACAGCACCGCACGCGAGATGAAGAGGCTCGCGCACAAGATGGGATACCAATGATATCCTGCGACTACACGTTCATGACGGTGAACGGGGAAGAAGATGGGAGAGCAAAACCCATCTTGGTGATAAAGGACAGCCGAACCACGTCGGTGGCTGCTACCTTTGTGGACGCTAAGGGACCTACACCGTATGCGGTGAAGTACTTCAGTAACTTTCTGAAGACACTGGGATACAAGAGAGTCCTGTTGCAGAGTGATGGAGAACACTCTATCGTAGCGTTGAAGACGCAGGCCGCCACAGCGGCTGGTGTGGAAGGAGTTCCACGCGAATCCCCAAGAGGGGAACACCAAGCGAACGGCTTGATTGAACAGGTGTGCAAAGAGATAAAGATGCACATCCGAGTTGGGAGATCAGCTTTGGAAGAGAAGCTGGGTCAACCCTTGGGTGACACAGACCCGCTGTTGGCATGGATGCCAAGGCACGTAGGGGATCTGCTGAATCGGTACCGCAAGGGAAGAGACGGAAAGACGCCAGAGCAGAGGCGATCTGGAAAGCAGTGGCGAAAGCCAGCAATAGCCTTTGGAGAAAGGCTGTACTACCGAGAGGTAGGAGAAGGAAGACGGCCACTGAAGGTTGGCCGGTACATCGGGCATCACGGCCGGACGGGTACGTTACTGGTGATGACGGACTCGTGAGTGATGCGAGGAACCGGGATTCGCCGGTTGGGTCCAACTGACCAGTGGACAACGGAGGACTTAGGTCAACTCCGAGGACTTCCATGGGAGGTCACAGCAAGACGGCCAGCTGAGAGAGGCGAGGCCTTGATAGGCGAGGGCCGGCTGGAAGTGCCGGACCTACCGCAAAGAGTGGCGCTTGCACCGCCAGCTCAAAGACGGATCTACATCCGGAAGGAAGACGTGAACAAGTATGGTTCAACGGAAGGTTGCCCAGGATGTACTTGTGTGCTTTTGGACGGACCGACAACGGTTCCACACACGGAAGCATGTAGAGCTCGAATCATCGGACAGATGATGGGCGACGAGACTGGAAAGGAAAGGCTGGAAGCCTATGAGCGAAGGAGGAAGCGTCAGAAGGACGCTCCGGTGGTTGCGGAGCAGGATGTGGCCGCACCGGAGGCGGCAGGGGAACCCACAGCAGTGGCGATCGAGGAACCTCAGGATCCAATATATCCGGAGGATCCAGAAATCAGAGAGAGACTCAAGAGAGCAGTAGAGACGAGGCCCACCGGGAGTGAGAGCGGTGGCAAGCCTAAGGCTAGAACTGCACCAGCACAGGCCGTAAAGCGGCCAGGCGAGCTGAAGATCGGAGCGGGACCTGCTATGGCTAAGCCAAAGGTTCAGCCAAGCCAAGGAGACAAGCGAGCAGCCGAAACGGCTGTCGAAGATCTCAGAGAAACGGCAGGAGAAGCGCCGACTTCGGCGCCAGAACCAATGGAGCAAGGAGAAGACGCAAGTGCCTTCTCTAAAGACAAGAAAGTGCTCAAGACCTTGATCAAAAGACAGGTCTTGGACGCATACGAACTTCATGGACTGACCATCAGTTCAGAGGAGGCAGACAGCATAGCTGACCTAAGCTGTCAAATGTGTGCAGTAGATGTGATGGAAATCTACAGTCCGAAACGGTTCACGGACACGGCAAAAGCGTTCAAGCTGCGACCAGGGTTCGCAGTAGACCTGACAGAACAGAAACCAGACGGTTCTTACTGGGATCTGAACAAGTCTGAAGATGTCAAGGAGGTCGAAGAAACTATCGACCGGGAAGAACCAAAACTGCTGACGGGCAGTCCACCGTGTCATATGTTCTCGCAACTGCAGAACATCAGTTGGCACAAGCTCAGCCCAGAGATTCGTGAGAAACGGATGTCAGAAGCACTCCACCATCTCCACGTGAGTTGTAAAATGTACAGGAAGCAATACGACTCTGGAAGATGGTTTCTTCACGAGGCACCTTGGGGAGCAGCGAGTTGGAAGGACCCAGAGGTCCAGGCCATTTTGGCCCTCCCAGGCGTGTATTTGGTCAAGGGACCGATGTGTCGCTGGGAGATGAAAGCAACTGACCGCAGAGGCCTGCAAGGCCACGGATACGTGCGAAAAGAAACCGGTTGGCTCACCAACAATGAGAGGCTGGCAAGCCTGCTGAAAGGTGAATGTACCAACCAACAAGGAAAGGACTGGCACCGGCACATTCATCTTATAGGTGGAATAGCCAGACAGGCGGCTCAGTACCCGCCGAAGCTGGTAAGAGCCGTGCTAAAGTGTTTGAGACAACAGCTGACGGAAAGTGGAGAGCTAAGCTCCGCAGAAGCAAACGTCAGCGGTCCAGTTCCTGAAGAACCATTCATCGATCCTCAACAATTTGAGGAGTGGTACTGGGATGATGTGAATGGTGGATGGTTAGACTCAGAAAAGGTCAAGGAAGCACGCAAACTGGAAATGGAATACTTGAAGAAACAAGCGGTTTATGAGAAACGACCGATGTCCGAAGCCTTGAAAGTCACCGGCCGGAGGCCGATACCGGTCAGGTGGCTGGACACAGACAAGGGAGATCCAACGAAACCTAACTTCAGATCGCGACTTGTAGTGAAGGACATCAAGGCAGCAAAATCGGAGAGCGAGCAGCTACCTCAGAACCTGCTGTTCAGCTCGACTCCACCCCTGGAGTCCATGCGGTTGCTCTGTTCACTTATGAGCACCCAAAAGCTGTCAAAGAGAGGACAAAAGCTGAAGCTAGGACTATGGGACATCAGCAGAGCACACTTTTACGGTATTCCGAAAAGGACCATCTACATCGAGCTACCCGATGAGGATGCGTCATACACGGAATCTGGTGAGAAGGAGTGTGGTCTATTGATGAAGTCTATGTATGGAACTCAGGATGCCCCAAATATCTGGCAAAGCCACTACACCGGACTGCTGGAGTCCGTGGGAATCTGTAGAGGCAAAAGTAATGCCAGTGTGTTCTACCGTGACCGAGATGGCATCAGAATTGTCGTCCACGGTGACGATTTCCTGGTTTTGGGAGATGACCAGGGACTTCAAGAGGTAGACGACCTACTCAGAAGCACCTATGAGCTAAAACGGCTCGGAACGCTTGGTTTTGACGAAGGTGATGACAAAGAAATACACTTCTTGAATCGGCTCATTCGAGTCGGTACCCACCAAGGAAGACAAGCGGTCTTTCTGGAACCAGACCGAAGACACGTGGATTTGTTGATCCGCAACTTAGGACTTGAGAATGCAAAGGGAGTAGACACTCCAGACCTGAAAAAGCCTGTGGAACAGCAGATGCTAGAGTCCAAGAGCACTTTGCTCACAAAGGACCTGGCTAGTATGTTTAGGTCGAGTGTAATGCGGGCAGCATACTTATCCCAAGATAGACCGGACCTTAGTCATGCGGTCAAGAATCTGTCTCGCAAAATGGTAAGTCCTACGGAAAGTAGTCTCGCGGATTTGAAGAGACTGGGGAGATACTTGAAGAAGTATCCCAACTTTGCCCAGGTATTTGCCACTCAAGCAGAGCCGACAAGCATCAAAGTGCAGGTCGATAGCGACCATGCAGGAGACGCCGTGACGCGGCGGAGCACTACAGGCATGATAGCTCTGTATGGCACGCATACCCTCAAACACGCTTCGAACATTCAGAGCACCATAGCTCTAAGCACAGGAGAAAGTGAATATTACGCATTAGTGCGTGGAGGTTCGACAGCGTTGGGACTGCAGTCATTACTATCCGATTTGGGAATCAATCTGCCAGTGACGGTAGAGTCCGATTCCAATTCGGCAAAGGGAACGGTAAGCAGGATAGGCCTTGGAAAGGCTCGGCACATCCAAACGCGTTACCTATGGCTGCAGGAGCGTGTATCCATGGGACACTTGAAGGTTCTGCATGTACCGGGAAAACGGAATCGTGCAGACGTTTTCACAAAGAGTGTTCCTGGTGTTCAAATGCACAAGACGATGGAGAGATCTGGATACATATACCTGACGGAACGTAGCAGAGGCCAGATGAAGCTATTGGACTCGTAATCCAAAGGCCCTGGCCCAGGCTCCGCTATGTACAAAGAATTCATATCTGCAAACCTGGAAAGATGTGTACAGAGTACCGTCGAGCTGTTAAGCAGCTCTCGGGTAAGGAGGAGTGCAGATGTATATCGACATAGTGCACCATTTGTGTATAGCTCAATACGCTTGACTTTTGGCTCAAGTGGAAAAGGCGCTCCGTAGCGCCAAGGTTTGCAGCAAAGTAGTTTTGCAGAATAACAATCCCAACTGACTTTCATATTTTTCAGAGGGGTAGGTATACCACCAACCAGTAATTGTATGTAATTGTCCCATTCATGCGGGTAAACCCAATCCAATGCCATAAACATCATAAACCAAGCCCTTTTTGATGAGGTAAATCATGATTATTGGGACCGGTAAAAATGGAATAAGGTAAAATGACCCCCAGTCATGGTTGGTTCATGGGATCGTTTATTCTTCGGTTTACCATGGCTGATGGCCATATGGCCATTGGGCATACCATGGGATAGCCTACGTTCAGAGAAAAGGATTTCTTGCTATACACGCAGTGTAGATGAACAAGCTCCTCGTTGCATTCACATATATCATCATATATCATATATACCTACATTTGAACCTCAAGTTGGACAAGAATTCAACATCAAAAATGCAAAGGTTAACTACGGTAACTGGATAAAACGGAACATTTGACTTATGTTCTGCATTTTCTGGCTGACAGAAGCGCCTTTTTGGTTCAAAGGGCGATTTTTTGACTTTGGTTACGCCTGGTACTTTAGCACCGTTTGTTTATACTCACGCAGTGGACCATTTTACATGCTGATTCTGCGTGGGGAAGGTGTTACTGCAGCTGACTTCAACGCCTTAAACATGCGAGTCCAACCCAGCAGGAACTCTTTAGTGGCACAATCAGCGGTTCGTGCTAAGGCTACTTCATTCACGAGGAGAAGCGGGGACCGGAGCCAAAATCCTGTACTGCTATGGTCTACAGAGTCTACAGTCTAAGAGAATCTTTATGAATCTGGATGAATCTTGAATGCTTCAAGCTGGTTTTTCCATGGTCGTTTCTGTTCCCAACTCTGGGGAAATGGGATGACCAATTCGGTATAAAATGACCCCCCCAGTCATGGTTAATGGGATGGTTTACTATTGGCTTTACCACATTGGACTTGAAAAAAATCGAAGGATGGTGCGGAACCGCAGTTGAAGCATGTGTGGCTGTTAGTGCCATAGACATTTACACCAGTCGCAAGTGGCGCGAATATATATTTGCGTTTTTCGCCTTCCTCAAAGTGGTTTTCACAGATGCAGAGCATTTGCCACGAATACTACAGGATATTCCTTGAGTGAATCATTCATCACTTGCCGAAGATCCACCGGAGCCAGCCTTTAGGACTTGCAGACCCAGAGAATTGGCTACTCCTTTTTGTGTAGCATCGTTGCCAGTGTCAGCATCCCAGAGTACGACACACGGGGAATCCACTGACCAGAAGTTGCTATGTTGAGTGGTGGTTGGATGATCTACACATATAGAAACCATTGGTTTATTCAAAAGTCAGAAAGTTATGGATTATCTAATTACTCTAGTTAAATAATCAAATATATAGAAACTATTTAAGCAACGCCATGGTTTTGACCGTCTCCTTACCAACGATGAGCAGGAAACCACATCATGGTCGTGGCATTCTGTCTCAGGTAACCCTTTGCCGGGGGCTAGTGATTTCAGAGGATTTCAGTTGATTTGAGATCTATTTTCATGCATTTTCATCTACCCTCTGGTTATTTAACATAGCTATGGAACATGGCCCATTTATAGTTGATTTACCTATTAAAAATGGTGATTTTCCATGGCTATGTTAAGCAACCAGATGGTGATGGTAGTTTCATTATTTTCATCCCGCACCTTGTATTTGGGGCGCTTATACATTGGATAGTCATCGAGCCGAAGTTCCTTGGAACTCGAAACGAGGCCTCGAAACAAGGCTTTGTGTAGGAGCAAGGCGGCATCTTACAGTAAATCGCCAACGGAGGATTTGAAACCTGAGACCCTGAGTTGGTACACAAGAAATGGATACAAGGTGATACATATGATACAATTTCGAGGCCTGAAAAAAGGGGCAGATTCGCTGATTTTTGTCGATGCAGAGTTGCAGATTCAAATTCTATGGCTATAAAATCAAAATAAACCAAGTTACCCAAGTCCCATATTATAAGAATTCTGATCCCTTAATAAATGGCCAGTTATAAACTGGGCTGAGTTCACCTCCGAGAATTCCGCTGGGAATTCCAGTGTTGACCCGAAAGTTTCGGCGAGGCCATCTTTTTCGTTGGCTTGGCCGCAGTTGCTGCTGTGCTCTTTGCCGTGTACACCATTGTGCAAGTGCAGGTGGGTCCTTCAGGTCTCAAAGGATCCAAAGATATGTGTTGTTTGTCTGAAAATAGGGGATTTAAAGCCGGTTATAGTCATTTAATGATATTTGATGTGCACAATGATGATTGACCAATACATTTAGGGCTTTAGGGGTACCCGATTTTCAGGCGAACCCATATCATGCCGTACCCAGGTGACTGTTTGATGAATAAGCAGTGATGAAACGATATGAAAAGTAGATGATATCTAAATCACTTGCAGGAAGAAAAACGTGAGGGAAAGGGACGGGGAAAGGGACGGGGTAACCGGCAAAGCTTCAGGGGGATCAGGGGTGACAACGTGACAGTGGCCGCTGGGAAGTGAACTATGTTTGGCATGAGTGTTTGCCGATAGCTTGTTTCATGGTGTTTTTGCTACCGCTCCGAGACCACGGCAGTTGCAGAATACTGGGCAAACTGTGATAGAGTGCAAAGTGCAAATACTGTCAGCAAATGGGATCGCAAAGGAATTTCTGGAGTATATGTCAAATGGCGTCACATACGTCTGGAAAGACTTATTTTTTTCCTGTCTGGGTAAAGGCTTTGGAGGCTGTCACACTGAATCCTATCACCTGTGCTGGTGGGGATGGTAAGTTATCAAAGTTGAGCAATAATATCTATCAATATATTTATCAATATCTTTATTCAAAGACAACATCAATATGTACCAAAATAACAAGATTAATCATATATAAGAGAAATGTGCCCCGTCAACTCAGGGAATGATTCGAGAAAGCGTCCGAGAACAACTCAGCGAGAGGTCTCGGCTCCTCTTAAGGCCGATCGCAGCCATTCGTCGATGCGTCAACAGTTGGATTTATAGTGATTTGATAGTGATTTAATAGGATCTAATAGGATATTATGGTGGATTGAAGGATGAACTAATGATGATTTAACCGACCGCAATTGATACTTACTGGTATTTTATTGGTCAATAGATTGATTTATCCTCTGGTAATTTGTTACAGTTTGCGAGCTGGAAAACTACCATGTTTAATATTGATAGTGTTTAATAGGTAAATCATGGTAAATCATCAAACATGGGCCATGGCTTCCAGTTCGCGAAGTGCTAAATTACCAGAGGATAGCCATTATTTTCAGGGGGATTTGAACATAACCCACTGCAGTCAAGGGTTGGATTTGATATGATTTGATGCATATTGTCCCATATCAGGGGATGTTCCTGCCACCATAAAGAACGGTAATTGAATTACAATGGCCAGTCTATAGTGATGACCGGAACCCATAGACCCTGTTTTGACCATTGCTCATTTGTCCAGCGACATTTGTCCATGACTCGAAACTTTCTCACTTCCTAGTAGGGGCTCATCATTGCTGTCCCAGAAGTGGATAATGGGAAAATGTCTAGGAAACCTAGATCTCGGACACCTCAAGAATTTTTGGGCTGACAACCATGGTTTCCGTTGTATCCTTGCTGTTTTCACAAGACATGTGACCAGGGAGAAGCAAATCGAAGCTGCACGGGCGGCAGGGTGCCCAGATTCATGGCGAAATGGCTGTCAATACGCGAGTTACCACCAGGCAGTCATGGTGAAAAAAGGGCAGTTTAAGAGGATCTGGGAGAACAACATTCGACATTTACATGACATTTACATGACCATTTACTCTGTTGAGAAATCCACAGAATGATTGATGTTGCCTCTTTTCCCCAAAGATGTTTGCTTAAAAAGTCTGCACAGTCAGTGGAAACAGGCAAATTCAAATGGTTGTGCGGCTTTCCCAGAGATGTAGAAACATGCAGTGCGATACGCATAGGCAAGCATACGCATATACTTTTCAAATCTTTCCAATGTATATTTTAAGAACAGCAGCATCACAACATGAAACTGGTGCCAATGACATGACCAGCTGTTACCATTTGGTAAAACGTTACATCACTATGGAAAATCATCATTTGTAAGAGGTATATATATATATTAAATATATATATATATATAAATCAACTATAAATGGTAAATCAGCTATTTCTATGGGCCATTTTCAATAGCAAACTGTTAGTTTACCAGAGGGTACCAATCTTAGCGAAGAGTTGGGTACCAAGCCGTTCTTGACCGTTGAGGCTCAGCGCTTCGCCTGACCAACGTCCAAGTTCTGGAATTTGCCTGCGTGGCAACGAAAAAAGTTGGGCAAAGCGACGGTTAAACCGTTCGAGTTCCCCCAGCAATCTTCAAGTCATGCAACTCTTATTCCCATGTGATCCCCATATGATCCCCATATGATTCCCATATATTATTACCATATTAGGATCAAAGTTGTGATCTCCAAAAATATGTTGACCGATTTTTTTTGTGCCCCACTGGATCAGCTTGTGACAGGAAGGCTGAACACATCCCACGGATTTCAGAAAGAGTGGGGGATTATTAATATATACCTATCAATGTTGATTCTTAATACCTTATGAATCCTTATAGATTAAGAATCATCAATATTGATACATGGAACATTGATTTTAATTATTAGTTCACTGATCTTACGGCGGGTTTTTTTCCCATCTCCCATCTGGCCTTTTTTTGTTTTCCCAGGTCCAGCAAGCCAGCCAGCCAGCAAGGAAGCTTCTGCTTCCACTCAAACCTTAAACTAAAAGCCCCTAATCAACTATAAACCAACCCGAAACAAACCTCAAACCAACCTTAAAGAAATCACTAATCCAAAGCTGAATATATATAGTCATATAAAGTCTAAACTAACCTTGAACAAAGCAGAAACCAACCTTAAAAAAAAAAAACGCAAAACAACCTTAAATATACCGTAAACCAACCTTGGAGAAAAGACTAGTGAAACCTTTGAAAACTCCAACTAACCCTTTAAAAAACCCTAAACCAACCTTAAGCAAACCATAATCCCATCCAAAGCACTTAACCAAACGTAATTAACCTCTGAACCAACCTTAAATAAAGCCTTAAACCCACCCTAAACTAAAGAAACCCTAGTAAAACTCCAAAGCAGCAAACCCCAAACCAGCCCTATTCCTTAAACCAAGTCTAACTGAAGCCTAAGCAGACCCTAAATTGACAGCTTCCACCTCGATAGTGCAGGCGCAAACCGGCAGTGTCTGAAGCGGAATGAAGATCCAGCAAGAAATGCAGTTGAATATCATGGAATATCATAGAATATCATAGAATATAATTATTATAGTATAGAACATAATCGAAGGAAGTTTAGAAGTCAAACTTCCGACAATATGAAGAGATGAAAAAGCAGT